CTAGCTGTGTGACCTTGGGCAAGTCACTTAACCCCAATTGCCTCACCAAAAAAAAAAAGTATATGAAGTTGGGGCAGTTAGGTGGCAAAGTGGTAGAGCACCAGCCCTGAAATCAGGAAGACCTGAGTTCAAATCCAGCCTCAGACCAAACACTTGACACTTACTAGCTATGTGACCATGGGCAAGTCACTTAACCCCAATTGCCTAAAAAAAAAAGGTATATGAAGTCAGTATATTATTTTCAAAACTGTCCTGCTTATCTGAACTTCCTTATGAACTTCACTTTGCACATTTTAGAAAATATTTCAATGGCCCTTCTTTTTTGGCATCACCATTGCTAACTCCATTCCACACCTGACTCTCCCTTCCCCACCCCATTAAAAACAAAGAAATAAAAGAAGAAAAAAACTTTGTGACTAATAAACATAGTCAAGCAAAATGAATCCATACAATAGATATGTCCAAAAAATGAGGTAGCTAGGTAGCATAGTAGGGCAGCTATGTGGCATAATGGATGGAGCACTGGCCCTGAAATCAGGAAGACCTGAGCTCAAATCTGGCCTCAGACACTTACTAGCTATGTGACCCCGGGCAAGTCACTTAAGGTGTTTGTCTATACATTATTATTATTATATGTAACCTGAGCCCCCAAACCCATACATTCCCCATCCTCAGCTTGCTATACTAGAGACTTTGGATGATTTTCCCCTTGGTGAGATCTGGAACTCTTTCTCAGTTAAGCTGAGATATCCTTAGAGCTCTAGCCTCAGAGTCAGGAAGACCTGAGTTCAAATGTGGCCTCAGACATTTGACTCTTATTAGCAGTGTGACCCTGGGCAAGTCACTTAACCCTGATTGCCTCACCAAAAAAAAAAAAAAGCAAAAAAGCTGAGATATCTTGTTCACAATGGGAGAAATCTTCAATTGGTATTGTCTGGTATAAATTCTCACATGTGTACTTTCTCTGATTTATGTTTTGCTATCAACTTGAATAAATGGTTTTGCTATTTGCTATGTATATTCATTGCAGAACTGGTATTTAGTGGGAAGAAAGTCAAACCTTGGATAAAAAGCCTGGGACCCCAACGTCCCCATGAATGACAAGTGACTTCTTGATGTAGCTTCAACCTTACCAGTACTTCCCCTTGACTAACAATATTTAAAAATACATATAGAATTCTAGTCTGGTACCCCCTATCTCTGAGAAGAGCAGAGTAACCAACCCCTGGCCCAAACCTCCTGCTTCCCTTCCTGGTAGGAATTAAAGTCTCCCTTGGAGAAGGGTGGGGGAAGGAGATGCTAGAGATATCTGTTCTCTCTCTCTCTCTCTCTCACACACACACACACACACACACACACCCCTCCTCTTGTTACAGATGCATTGTTCCAGTTCTGCTCACTTTACTCTCCATCAGTTCGTACAAGTCTTCCTGGGTTTCTCTGAACCCTTAGCTTAGCTTTACATACTTAGCTTTGTAGGATGAGTTATTCTTGTTTATAAGCCTGTCTTTTTTATCTTTTGGAAGACTGTATTACAAGATTTTTCTTATATATAATAGAAGCTGCCAAGTTCTTTGTTCCTGACTATGGTTTCTTGGTTCTTGAAATGCTTTAGAGGGAGCTTTATATTTTGGCTATGACATTTGTGGTACTTTCTTTTAGAATTTCTTTCAGGAAGTGATCTGTGGATTCTTTTTATCTTCACTTTGCTCTCTGTGGATCTAGGAAGTTTTCATTTATGATTTCTTGAAATATAGTATCCATATTCTTTCTTTTTTTATCATGGTTTTGAGGAAGTCCAATTACTCTCTCTTTTATGTGTTTTACAAGTGAGTT